TAATCCAATTGCTCAAAATCAATATCTGCAACCCAACTAAATGCATCATCTACCTTAATCCATTCCCATGAATCCCTATATATTAAAAAGTCAGTCACAATAATAATTTTTTAAAAAAATAATACCACAAATTATAATTTATGAATTACCTCGCCATACTAGCCTTTTCCTCTTCAACCCACTCACTAATCTGCCATTCCGACAGATCACCAGAATCCGAGTCAGGATCCATTCCCCATTGCGACGGATATTCCCTTGGATCGTCTTCATTCAGGTAGGATGGAGCATGGGCTACCAATTTACCGTTTTCCCGGTGCATGTGATATTTGACAGTCACCATTGAACGCTTATATTTGGTATGATAAATGAGTGAATGCGTTTCCCTTTTCTCCTGTATGTATATTGTATGTATGTACTCTACTCCGTCAGGTTCTTTGATAGCAATGTCCATGTGACCCTGTCGAATAAAAATGATCAATAAATCGAAACAATTGTAAACAATTATTTTATTAAAGTAAAGTTCATACTGTAAAGAGGGGTGTATGAGTTGACTTGGAACTATCTTTCTCAATGCGATTGGTATTTTCTTGGTCAAATCTAAACTCGACGGCAAGTTTTTTTCGGTTGAAGTGTGCTCTGATCTTAAATTTAGGACAACCCGAACCATATATCCACTGTTTTTGAAATTTTGTAATCTCACTGCGGAGCTCCTGGCGAATTACTTCTTTACATTGTTCCAAAAATTGTTCAGTGTGCAAAAATCCGGGTCGAACATTTTGCTCTATGTCCTCTTTTGCTTTACTTAGTATGAGGTATATAATGCCAGGAATTCCACGTCGATAATCTAGAAAGGGCAGGCGTTTGTCCAGCATCCAAAGCACCAGTGAGGATTTAAGTGAAATAAACTCGAGGTCCTTCGTTTCGAAAGGTTTTATAAAATCCACAGAACACAGAGGTGGCTTGCCTACATCCATCCTGCATACGAGTTCAATGTCCTACAAATATATATCCCAAGCGATTGATCAGCAATTAACGATTATGATGAACTATATGAAACCAATACTAACCTTCTTGCGCAAAAATCTCGTATCCTGTTCCCCGAATAATTTCTCGAAGAACATGTTAGCAAAAAAATTTGATAACCCCACGGATAGCCAATAATCTCGCCTTTGTAAGTGATTATAGAAATTAAATTTAATCCAATCACGCATAAAATGAACTCCGATGCATAGCGCATTCTAAAATTAAGTTACAGACCATGAATATGGTGGAATGAATATTCCGAACCATTGCTGGGCTATTGCGGTGATCAAGGCACGCCTCGTTGTGACCCTCTGATCGATTACGTATTGGT